TGTGGATGCTACTGTGAGCGAACAAAAATCTAATAATCTAATAATCTCTAAAATCAATCTTTATGCTTTATAATGTATTGAGTAAATTTTCAAAATCTGTTAATATTTGAGAATTTATAATATCAAGATCTATTATTGTATCTATATTTGAATTAAAAGGTTTGTCGTATTTTAAAATATATTTTTTTTCTTTTTTCCAGTTTGTCAATAATATTATGTATATAATTTATTATTATAGATCCTACTATTCATTTAGAAAAATTTTCCATCATATTTTCTTCAAAACATTTTAATATTTTTTGAGATGCATTCAATTGTTCTTGATATCCAATCTTATCAAATTCATTTTCAAATTCAATTTTTTTTTTATCTTTTATAATTTTCTTAATCTTATATGGTCCTCTGTTAGTTTTAGGTTTTTTATAATTTTTATTTGTCATTTTAAAATCTTGGGCTTAGTTGTATTCTTTTCTTATTTTGGATAACTTGGATGTAATTATTATTTTTAGGGGTATTTTAAGTAGTTACAAGGTTTAAAAAAGTCTAAGGCTATTTTGGAAAAAGTATGGTTGAATTTTGGGTATTTTCAATAATTTCCCGAAGCCATCCCACTCCCATTTCAATCCCATCACGAGATAAAACTCCCGGCTCGGCGGCTCCCAATTCCAAACTTTGAAGCAAAATCCAGCAATTCAGTCCACACCTACCTACTGTTCCTGACCCGACTCCCTCCGTCGGCGATTGAACGATCTTAAACGGCAAAACAGGACAGCAAACGATCGAGTTGGGAGCACTGCTGGCTTTGGCTTGTACACTTGGAAATGTAAGGAGATTATTCTTGTTTTGAGCACTTTCATCTCGGGATTCAATTTCTTTTTCTCTTTGACTTATTATTTCGGCCGTTTCAATTTCTATCAAAGAGAATAAGAGATTAATACTACTGAAGAAGGGTATTTCAATTTTTTATTGTGTTTTATTTCTAGAGTTTCTAGTTTCATTTTTTCCATGTATATTG